CTCAGCACTTCAATTATTGCTCTACTTTTAATAAATTAATTTTCCCAGAGAAACAAGAAATTCATAAAAAACCAATGCAATTTATAATAACTTTTAATATTACACGCTATATTTACTAACAGGAAATATTTCTTTATTAAAGTAACTTTAAAAATATTCCACATTCGACACAACTGCCTGGTACTTTTTCATTTCTTTGTTGATTTATCGTATTTCCATTATTGTTTTTATTAAAGTACAGTAACCGTATGAAAATATAGTGTATCGAATTCGCGTTCGTTGCGGGCCATGGTGTTGTAACATCATTTGCAGTCGTTTTTGATTGTGCTTGTATGGGCGTTTATTATCAAAAAGCAACTCGGTTAAAAGGTCAAAGGAATAGTGAATTGATGGCTCTTAATAGAAATAGTAACCACTATGCATCGAGCACGATGCACAAACTAAATCCCGTGCAATAGGGTCTCGCGTAATCTCGGGGTTAGCCAGTTAGATTCGCGTCGCGTACACCAGTTATATGCTTATCGTCATCACGTACGCATCATCGGATGATCGTAAGCTCTGACAGTTCTGTACTGTGATTTCGCGATGAAGAATTCGTACATCATTTTTAGTACTATCGCAGGTAAGAAAGATACAGTTTTATTTATTTATTTCACGAATTATCTATCGCTTTGCTGTCGAAGAATTCATTTGAAAAGAAAATAGTCACAGCTTGCGTTTTCTCATGTATCGCACATTAGAATGTGGGAACGTGTTAATGATATAATTTCATTATTTAAATAATTTCTAACACATGCTTGCCCTGTCAAAGTTAAAATACGTGTCCGAAATGTCTTTAGATTTCAATGCGAAGCGTCTTATATAAATTATTTCGTTAATTCTTTGTGAAATATTAGCTTCAGCCAACGCGACGATCATTTTTACACAGAATTTGACGCTCCATCGATTTAAAATACGAAATATCATTTCGTTTGAATAATCGAGATGATCTAAAAATCTTTAAACTGTCACCGCTCACAAAAAAGAACATGCTTTATGAAATGTATCCCTCGACATCATTTAAATTTTGTGTCTTACAATTTTCATAAAGTGTAATGTTTAATGGTTATTCGATCAAGTCATCTCGATAATAATTATTTAATTAAGTAAATAGTAGATTCACTGTTTTTCGTCGTTTTAGAGAGTTAAAAAAAACAGAGTTAAAAACATTATTTAAAAATATTGCAGACTGACATTTGCGGTAAAGTGAGGCAAACATAATCATCACCCGAATAAAGATTTTTAAATCTTAGATAAACATAAAATGAATCTGCTTTCACACACAAGGAAAATATTAAGATTCTAAGAAGATATTTCATCCTGGAACCAAATTACCAATGACTATTGTTTATAACTTCCTCAATTTTGTTTTTATAACGTAATATAAAATACGAATTAATTATACGATGAAACTTTGAAGAAGAGTACAAAACCAAGCGTTCCTTCTAACATAATTAAATAAGCACAGCATTCCAATATGGCGGACAATTAAAACTTGGTTTCATAAACTTTTTCGTCAATTTTGATCAGTTTTATGGAAGTTTTTGTTTGCTATTTGGTTTATCGTGCACAGTTCGTTTACTTACGAAAGAAATATGTAAAAGTCATAAGAAGATTTCAAAGTAATCATAGACAGTTCGACGTAATCCCTGTTCAGCAACCGGAAGCATGTATTATGTCCATTAAAATCAGCAGGTCGTTCGAATTGTTCACCGGTCGTATATAAAGCGTAACTTAGAAAGTGCCGGTGTTACTCGAACTACTGATTGTATACTAATTTAAAATATTCGGTAAAACTCTTGTTTAGGGGACCATCTCCAGTGACGTTCACTTTGATATATGTCGTCAAGATCATGATCCTGAGTCTCATCCATGAAATTTTAGCCGACGGTCATTGTTTATAGAAAAGTTATAAATAAAAAGAGCTTAATGAATAGAACTTTCAAGAAAAAATATTTTGATGCAACATTCGAGTTTCAAATTAAAAATGGAATTGGTTGAGAGGTCTGGATTTTGATAGTTAATTATATGAATCACATGTATCATATGTATCGTATACTTTATGTAAGAGTGTATATAATTTTGATAAATGCATCGATGCTTTTCTTTTGAAAGCGTGCATTCTGAAATCGAAAATCATTGGAATTTCATTGAAACGACAATGTTTCCCTTTTTTAACCCTACAGTCAATCCAGACCTAATTTAAACGTACATGATATACTGTTTGATGCAAATAGAAGTCATAATTATTAACAAATATATTTCAGTATGAGAGTAACACTGTTCACAACATTTTTATAAACAAAAACCATCGGCTAAAACCTTCCAGGTGTACCTCGAGGGAATAAATAATTTTACCATAACATATAAAGATGAAGATTATTGGAGGTGGGTCTTGTAAATAAGAATTTTACCAAATATTTAGTGGTAATGCGAAAGATTCCACGGAATTCTTCTGTGGAATCATTTTATATATAATTCGTCATTCTGTAACGTCATCGTAACTTAGAGCGTGACAGGAATGCGATAAATATCAGACTTTCCGTGAGAAATCAATAATTGCCTGTATTGTGTGTCATATTTGTAAATATTTCGACACGTTTTCAGACAAGTTTATTGAAATTCAATCTTCATAAAGTCTAATGTTTTATTTCCAAAAAAACATCAGTCTCATATAGCATTCAAAAAAAGTTTAAATTTAAATGTACATTAATTTATCAAAAAACCTGGTCTTGATTTTATTTTATAAATTGGAATTTGTTTCAGGTTTATTCGCGGTTACAGAATCAAGTGACTGGGGATACTGGGGCGATCATGGTAATTATTTGTTCTCATCGTTTCAAAATCAATCTTAAGTTAGGAACCTCGTTATAGAGACGAAAGGTTCTTACGAAGTCAATTAAATTGTCCAACGATATACTTGTTACTTGTCTATCACGAAACTCTTATCTATTTTAACAGCTTATAATGATTCCCCGTTAAACTTTTCGTTGATAGTTTAATATTTGGTTCCATAATTTCATCGTTCTTGATAATTCAGCTTTATAGATCTTAATTACCATTGTCAATACTTACTATCAAAAGAAATACTGAGACAGAGCGAATATACTGTCGAGTAGTAGATAACAAAATTCTTTTGATAATTCGCTGATTGTACAATCTAGATATGCGATCAAGTACCCTTCTGTTAAGTGTAATTTTTCAAGTACCCTTTTGTTCTCCGTTTAGACCCAGTACATTGGCCAGGATTATGCGCGACTGGAAAGCAACAGTCGCCGATAGATATTTCCACCAAGACCACCGTGAAAAAAGATTTTTGTGACCTAACGTTCCGAAGATATGAGGACACGTACCATGCGGATGTTATTAACAATGGTCACTCTGGTAGGTGTCGAATGCTATCGAAACGACATAGAAATATATTCGCCGACAAAAGCTAACAGTCAAATAATCAAGCAAAGATGGCGCACGGTAAAGACTCCTTCCTTATTTGTATAGAAGGTTGCCTCCTTCGATTTGTGTATTTATATGCAAATTTATGACATTTCGTCATTAGACTGCAGATCTTTCTGCAAAATAAAAATTCTCTATATATTTATTCACTTATTAACGGGAAAATCTTTTAGTACAAAAATATGGTAATACGTGAGGAAAAACAAAATTAAAATTATACAAAAGAGCTTATAAAGCACAATATGTTGCAACGATAGTTTTAGACTTCTTTAGGATTGTTCAATTACAATATCTGTTTTCAAGTGTGCGAAGTTAGCATTATTAATCTAATTCTATTTATTATTCTATATTAATCATTCTATTTGAGTTCCATATATTGTGTGATAGTGGCTTATAAAATAAAATAGAGTGTAATTCAATTGAATAATTACTGTACATGAAATATGACCTCCGATTACTTTACTTGCAAATATGACAACGGTCATTTGTCTCCTATTATGCAACGCTTGAAGATTTGTATTTTTAAGCGAGTCTTCATAATTATTCACGAGTCAAAAGACATGGGACAAACACTGTTTGCGCCAAAGTAAAGTTTTTGTGATTTATAGTGAATCATAATTATCTACGCTAATTGGGCGAAATAGAGGTTGAATTAAAATGTATTTGTTCTTTGAATAGTTTCAGCACATCGATGATAATGTAACAAATAATAATATAATAATAACAATATAATAATTGTATTTCGTGTAACCACTTCTGCCATAAATGCATAAAATCTCAGCTTATTCGGCATAGAGTAAGTAGAAAATGATGTGTTTTTTCTGTTTCAGTACAACTGAATTTTGATAGGAAGTCTATGTTCCTTTCAGGAGGAGGTTTACCGTCAACATACGTGTTGGAGCAAATACATTTTCACTGGCCCGCTGAACACACTGTGAACGGGGTGCGCGATGCATTGGAAGTGCACTTCGTCCATTATGAACTGTCACATCAAAATGTTGCTCAAGCTTCACAGTATAAGGATGGTATTACCGTCATCGCAACCTTATTCGAGGTATGATTCTTGACACAAGTTTTTAGTTTGTCGAAGCAGGTTTCCGTGAAATCGTTCAGCACACGATGAATTGATTCCTCATACTCGCATATTGATCACTAGACTGCAGATCTTTACGCGTTTCTGTTATTTACACATTTTTAAATTACTAGAAGACGTATACATTAATAAACGTTAATGACTAGAAAATTCTTCGTGGTGAACGAAGAATAACAATGCAATTAATTTTGTGTTTTAATGGGAATATTTTCTTGGATTTTAAAAGCTTACATACCTATTCCACAAAGGTATAAAGATCCGCAGTCTGTTAAATGACATAACCATCTTATTTTGACAATAAGAAGTTCTCTAGTTGGCCAATTGAACTTGTTCCTCATTTTGGTTTTTTTATGAAATGATCTATGAAAATTATGATTTACATCAAGATCTAAGAAGACATCTTATTTTTTCTAAAATTAAGATGTCTGTTGAAAGTTCGGAAATATGAATTGAAAAATAGCGGAGAACAGGAAATTAATAGGTTCAAGAAGTGGATGTATAATTTTTTCTAGAAGATAGATGGAAGGTTAGCTTATTTTAATCTAGAAGTGTTCCTTTTATGTCCCCTTTGGGACTTTTTTTTATCAGAAAACAATCGACTATTTTGTATTGGTTATTTGCTCATAATTTTATTAGTATTTGAGATAAAACGTATACTTTTTTAAGCAAAAATATTGAAAATTCTGCGGGTTAGATTTCTTTTTAATGAATTCTGTTTCTTGAAATGTCTTCCTTGTTAATGTGATTTCATCCATTTTGTCAGTCCGAAACAGACAAATAATGTGGCATATTCAAAAGTACATGTGTAACTATCGTCCTTATCAGGACGAATAAAATATCTCATTATTTAACAAAATGGATATACTTTGAAGTTCAAGTTTCGTTTTACTGGATTTTTTCTCGCTTTTGGTTTATGAAGAAGTAACAAAAAGGTCAAGATTGATTGATAATTATGATATGGGCATAGCGGAAAATTTTTCGAAGGATTTCTCCAAACTTGAAGTTAATTGGATATCTGGAGCTTGAAATATCGTATCAGTTATACAAAATATCGAGAAAATCATGTTTGAAGTTTCTCTCGTCAGTTATGTTTGAAACATGTATAATTCTATTATATTTTCGAATTGAAAAAGTTTTTTTTTCAGACATATTTTTAAAATCATATATTTTAGGAAAATACGATAAGCAAAATCGATTTTTTGATGCTTCTAGACCATGATAACTGATTGAACCAGGCGATAAGTATTAAAATATTTACAAGTCCAACGTAACATCGAACGCTTTGCAGAGATTACACTATCTTTCAATGCAAATTAATGACTAAGAGTCACCGTTGAAGCTGATGAACTGTCAAATCGATTTTTAACACTAAACATACAGAGATCTGGAAATGACAGACGCGTGTTTGCTTTATGTGAATGACACGACTGAATTTATTTAATCTGTTTGCCATTTTTATTACAGTGTTAGTTTGAGTGAAGGAATTTATTCAATCGTTTCTTCACTCCTTGTACTACAACAATTCGTCAAATAGTCATCTATTTTAAATCGAAATAAGATTTAAAAAATTTGTTTCTTATCAATGTTTGATCATTAGAGTTAATGCAGACGCACGATAAATATAAATTTCCTTACCTTTGTAAGAATTTATTAACGACAAAAAGAAGTTATAGTTAGTATAGAAGTGAAATAAATCGTAGGTCAAGAGTCTTTATAGTTTCAGCAATTTAAAAATAGAAAATGTGGATCCAGTACCTTAGGAAGCTCTATTAAATATATTCTTTAAAGAATAAATTAAATACATTCTTGCAGAAATAATATTTATGTTATTGACAAGAAGGTATGCGATGTTACAGTTGAGTAAAGAAGATAACGCGGATATAATGCACATCGTAAAAGTGGTAAACATATCTAACAGTTATGAGCCGAATACAAAGCCAGTGTCAGACAAGGTGGTTCCTTCACTTCTTTTCCCGAAGAATCATTCAACCTTTTACCGTTACAATGGATCGTTAACTACTCCAGATTGCCTGGAGTCTGTCACATGGGTGATTTTCACTGAAAAACTTACGATATCGAAGCAACAGGTCAGTATAATTACTTACTAATGACTAACTCATTTAATGCATTTCTAACAGAATTTTTGATCGTCTATGAAACAGTAAAAACATTTAAAGAATATAACAATAAGATAATTAAAGTTACAAAGCTTATGCAAATAATGCACACAATTTTTACTTTGTATAAAAATCTGTAGGCTGTTAATAACAAATAATAAGAATAGCAGTTTATCAATTTGTTCACTTTTTGATCTTCCCGATTGTACAAAGGTGACACATTATTGTTAAAATGCTTAATATTGATTCTTGAAACAAGATCTTTTCAAAATGTTCGTAAACCTTTCCGATTTATCACATCACATTTTTCAAAGAAAATTCACCGAAACGAAATTTTGCAGATCAACGCTGCACTTTCCTTTCATTTACGATATTGCCGCAAAAGGATTTGTTTATGTTGCACGTGATTTGCAGAATTGCTGCGAAGTTTGTATCTGTATAAGATTATTGCATATATATCGGCTGAATCCATATTTTTCAAAAATGACTGAAAAAGCAAAATTGCACGATTACTTAAAACCTTTTTCAAGGACACGTTACTAATAGACAATATCTAATGTATCATGTGTCACTTAATGAAAGATAATAATACATCATTATCTTGTTAAGCAAATATTAGTATGATTTATTATATTTTAAGACTACTTATCTAGTCACTTAAAGATAAATACATGTTTTGTATAAAAAGTTCTTATGTTTGATCACGAATGCTCATTCGGCCGTTAGTAGGTATTACTAGGACAGAGAAACGGAGTTTCGATGATCCGAAAATACTCTAATATTTTTTCAAATCTTACAAGCTAGCATGAAACGAACTCCAGTAAAAGCATCGAACATTTTTTCCGCTATTATTTTACAACTGCAGAAATTAAAACGTCTTAGTGATTTTTATCTCCACCAGTATTTTACAGAACATTTCGTAGAGCTTATACGTTGCGAGGCGAATAAAGACGGACATTAATATTTAGTAGATACCTTCATCATAGAGAATCTTCAAATTATTCAAAAAAATTGTTTGATAGTTTCGTCGATGGCTCATAGAAAGATACAAAGTTCAAGGAAAATTCGATTTTTGGATTATTGGAATTTTCATTTTAAACAAAAAGGAAATTCTCATGCGAGGCTTGAGGTACAGCTGCACGCAGTAATTACGTAAACAAATAAACATCGTTCTAACACGAATCGAATTATAAATTCGATGTGTAAACCGAAGAAGAAAAATTAGCAGCGATTGTTAGTGTGTTTAAAAATTACATTATTCGAGCAGTTTCCAAATGTACTGAAAAACGGCGCACGTGCAAGGCTATCGAAATAGGTTCAACACGAATTTTTTATGGCTACCTATTTTCAGATTTAGGAAGCGAAAAATATCTTTCGAAGCTTACTTTGAATTCTGTTTTAATCTAAACTATTCGCATATATTCTTTATAACACTTGTACATACGATAACTCGATGTAAGAAAATAACTAAAACTTCAATATTTTCTGGTACACAATGCGTTTCGCAGCGTGCGGTAGTATTACAGGCGTGATCTCAGTGCACAGAAATTACGGCTACTATATCGTGTTGTATAGGTGGTTTACTTGTCTCAACAGAAATTGCTTAAAGTGAACGCAGGCTTGTTTATACAACACTCTTCACAAAGTACTAAACACCTTATATACACCGCTTATTTTGAAAGGAAGTAACGTTCGTCTATTCGTGCAACGAGGAATTTTACCGTTTAAATTTAACCCTTTCGCATTGAAATCGTCGGCACTGGTTTCATGCACGCTGTTTCGAGGCCGACCTCAACATATAATATTCGCTGTGGGTAATGCATATAATTAAGAGAATGCAGGTAGATTTTTTAGGTGATTTATAAATTGTTTTTGATTGATAATTTCAGCGATTGAATTATTGATAGTCAATGTAATATCGATGATTTCAAGCCGACGTTCTTAATTAAATGATACACTTATATAGTACCAGAATTATTGGTAGATTTATAAAAGAAAGCGTCGATTCAAGTGTTTGTAAAATTTAAAGTTTTTAAAAATTCTTTTCGTAGTAATTAAAATGCACCGATATTCATATTTTACAGTCGGTTGCAAATTTGAATTCGTCACAACAAATTACCTTATACCACACAGAAGGCCGGAGGTTTCGATATCTATTTTTTCGCAAACTCTAATGTGTTTTTTCTATTAATAGCATTCACAAGTGGTTTTCGTCTGTCGACGTTACCGTTTCCATTTAGAAATTTTCTAGCAGCCCAATAATTCTGGGAACACTTACTTTTGGATCTTCCTTTACTTTTCGTATCATAAAACCTTCTTTCGAAGGGTTTAAAATGTTCTTTCTACCATGTCCACACTTATTTTCTGTTTTTAACTAAAGCTTCTTTTTATAATTTTATTAATTTATCGATACGATTCACCCTCTTTTCAATTAGAAATTATAATATTCTTACCTTCTGCACTTGTTACTCAACCTTTATTCACCATTGATATCAAAAAAGGGTTTTGCCTAATAAATATATAATAATTGATCAGAGTATTTATTAATTTCAAGTCAAATTTTATTAATGCATTTTGATAATTAGATAAAAAAAAGTCGCTTGGAGCAAATCTGTCACTGTTGCACTTAACCCTCCGCCGACATTTTTTATTGTTTTGGGATTTCGAAAAGTCTGAGGTAACTAATTGTAGTTCCTAATTGAACATGTAAGTGTTAAATGTTTAAACCCATTTGTAATAAACATAAAAATTCGACGGAAAGTTAAGAAGAAATGGATTATTATACCGGAGGAGGGTTAAAGAAATTAATATGCAAATATCATTGTAAGTATAATGCATTTAATTAGTTCATTTATACATGCATTCGCTTGAAGTTGATTACAGTCGACCTTACGATTCGCGGTTCACTTCTATGATGTTTACTGTAACTAGTAGACTGCAAATCTCTATGCAAAATGAAAATTGCCTGCATTAATTGCAATAAGATTCATTTCTTTCTTTTGCTAATTTTAATAAGTCGCAAATAATAAAATAATAGTTAAATCTAAATTTATTAACTTAAACCATCAAAGCAAAGTTTGATTATTGTCTATTTGACACATCCATTTTTGTGATGAATGCATAAAAGTCCGCAGTCTAATTATAATCAGACTTAAATTGATTCTACAACCCTCGCTTTTTACGCGAGGAGATTTCTCTATTATACTTTGCAAAACCAAGCATTTAATTACGACAAAGAAAAGCGAAATTAGCATATAATCTTTCGTTTCTTTACAGTTGCACGTTTTTGAAAGTGTTAAGGCGAAGAACGGCACCTTGAGCCACAATTACAGACCAACCCAAGATCTTGGAGACAGAAAAGTTTATCTCCGTGGCATCGATTCTTCTGTCGCAATGCCTACGTCGAATTTAATGTTCACACTGTTAAGTTTTATGTTTATCAAACTGTTGTGCTCGTAATAAAACGTATTGGTATAACAGGATTCGGTCATGTGTTATTATCAAATTATCAGCAAGTTATACTCGGATCAATTATGTTATACATACGGAAGCGTGGCCTCTGCACGTTGTAGCTGATCATCATCCGATATTCGCGCACTGTTCGGGTGAATTTTACCGAGATGTTTTAGGCATTATACAACTTTATAAATAAATTTTACATGTGCATTTCATACATGTTACTATTATACACTTATGAAGTAATACGATTCCTTAATTAAATCAGCGTGTAACCGATGATTAATCGAACTCTTATTAACCATGGATGAGAGAATATCGAAGTAACAATTACTTAACCGGTAGACAAGAGAGAGAGAGAGAGAGAGTAAAAGAAACAAAATGTTATATTACAAACAGCCCAGAATATTGTCGTTTCTTTCTCGACGATTTGTTTTTGCACTGCACCGTCTTTCCGCGGGTATGTTTCTTGCCTTTTTGATCGTATTCGTTCTGACACCCATTAGCGAGGAATTCGATGCTGACACCATGGTCGTCGTCGTTCTCATTTTCGACGATATTTCGAACGTTGACGCTGTACATGCATTCCCTTCGAAGATGTATATCGAGGTGTGGTGTCTGTAAATAATAGAATCATTAAATTTTGTTTTTTTTTATCAACGTATCGTGTTTCGTTCAGCATAGAGGCATGGTGCTACGTTGGTATTAATAATTACAGTCGCAAATACTTTGCAGGTAATTGAAGTATCGGATAAACTAGATTCATTAATAATAAGATGAATTTTTAGTAGTATGCCAACAATTTGTTAAACCCTTTCATTTTTCGAAAACAGATGGTTTTAACGAGCGCTATTTCTTCGCGTGTGACGCAACGCTTGTTGCTAGACTTTTAGTACCTACAAATGGATTTTTATTGCTTTTTTTATAACCCGCCAGGCTCCACTGTTTATGTCGATCGAAATACTTCGTTAAACGTATCCGGTGAAGCACTGAAATAACGTACAAGAATTTTTGTAATTCTAGAAAGTTATTGTGTGTTGTGGAATTTTTATAGAGAGAAATGTGACCTCCAAAACTTTTTAAAACAGTGTTCTCATGGAACAGATGTTCTAGAACCTGTATTACGTCGTTTACTGAAAAAGCTGAGAAACATAAACGAGTTCTTAATTGTGAATTATCTGCACAAATATTACAAATATACAATATATATTCAGAATATTAAATTAACGTCATTGAATTAATTAATAATAGTATTCGGCTTTTATGACAATGACGAACAGCCTTTTCAGTACTGATGATACCTTTTCTTATCACAAAAATTTCTTTATTTTTCTATGTTTTAAATTCTATTTAAACTAAAACTTTTCTTTGTTTGGTTTTTAGATGTCTTTTGAAAAACTTCTAGACTTACGTTCGACTTTTCGACAGATTAATCGAGGAAAACCCTCTCAGTCGAGTTTCAAGTCGACATTTTATCATAAGGGCGGTTATAGTTCTGCTCAATGGAAAATCATGAAAAAATTCAGAGCGTTGCGCTTATAATTAGGCAGAAAATTAATGAATTTTTCAGAAAAAATACAGCATAATCTATATTAATTCGATTCAATCCTATAATTACTCTTGTGGCGGCGGTACCGGTTTGAAACTTCGCTGAGAAGGTTTTCATTAAGTGACACATCAAAGGGTGTAAACAAAAGTCAATTTTGGGGACACATATGACCATCTTATCCGGCTATTATTCCCTATGATCAAAACAACTTTACTAGACATCAACGAGGGACAATTTTTTCACGATAATACCTGAACAACTTTCCAGAATGTTTGCTTCTGTTGTTGGTTCTTCTCGTGAGGTGATGGACAGGATTCCTCTCGCCATGAAACGTTGTACGCTTTCACCTGGTGGTGCACCGGCCAAACCAATCGTGCCCTGACTTCTCCGCACTGACAAATCATACGTCGCAACTGAAGGCTGGTCTGATTTGGTTCGCACCTGCGAGAACGTCTCTCTCGGTCGGCTTCAATGAAAGGGCACTTCTTCGTTTGTTATCCTGATTATTAAGCTCGGTGGAGATGTTTACCAGAGTATTGGAGAACAATCGTACGTCTTTTTAACTATCTTACCATATACCATGTAATCCGTGCTATTGAAGACCTTCGAAGACTTTCGCGACACCAGCCGTCGGCCCCCGTACAACGCGACAGCTTGCACCTGAAGAAAGTACTGGTAGTTCAGTTCCAAATCCTTCAGTTCGTAACAGGTCTTATCCTGTAAATCAAACAAACGATCAAAGTCTAAATATTATTATCTCGACTCCACGGAGAACTATTTTACAATTCACTTCGGATGTTAACTCTTTGCGGTATGAGGCCCTAATGGAAAAGTACCATAATTCTAAAGAATTTTGACGTTAAAATGGAAGCTCTGATATTCAATGAATGGAGAAATGTTACTCGGATGAAAAAACGATTTTTCGGATAGTAAAACACTCTTTTCTTACTATCATTATACGACCTGCATAAAAAGAACGATACGATAACAATCGCAAGTGTGTGGTATAAATTAAAGATTTTAAAAATTGTTGTGGACTTTGTTTTACAGCCAAATAACATTCTTTCTACGTCTAAACAAATTTTTACACTGGAACCGCGACTTGCGACTTGCGTAAAAGGAACAATAGCCATTGCAAGCAGTAATGTGTTCGATATAAATTAAATATTTTTGAAATTAATATGGATCCTTTTGGAGCTAAATAACATTTTTTAAAATTTGTTAGACCGCGGACACCGTGCATTTATAACAAAAATGACTACGTGAAATAAGCAACAATAAAGACGTTAGAAGAATTTAAAAACATTCCAATAAGTATTGGAATTATTAAAGGAAGAAATACATTTCATTTCTGTCTCTTATTAATTCAAAAGATTTTGCATAAAGACCCGCAGTCTAGCACATATTCGCAAATATGCACATATTCGTTATCAGTTTCACAGTCTTCTTCTTGTTCACTGAGAATCCAATATACCGATAACAATACATCTTGAACAATTATGCCAGTATTGTGTTACATCATTATTATCGTTATTGATAGCCCGATCGAATGAAGTAAACTTAGACTTTCAAATTAAACTTTCAACTATAACTTTGCAATATTTATTCAGTTACTTTTAGTTCCTGGTTATTCTAGCATCAAATTCAGTAGAATTATGGTTGCATTGTGATAAGAGAAGTTGATAAACTGTTCTGACTATTGGAGACGGAACATCACAGTGTAGTTGTGGTCGTTACTCGAGGATACATCAATGATAACTCACTTTTAATATGGTTCGATGATAAACGAGAAGGGAATTGTTGGTCGGGCCGTGAACGAGGCGACTCCAAAATACTTTATAGAAAGTAATTGGCACATCCGAGGCTGGTTTCCCCCATCTGAGCATGACACGTAATTTTCCACCGATTAGGCGCGCGCCGGATAACGTTAAGTTCTGCGGTTCTTTGGGACTCCGAGGCTCTGAAAACAATAAATTACCATCTACTTTTTAAGGCAATAGCAAACAATAAGGGAAGCCGACTCGCAAACAGAATGCAGAATGACTTCGCCTCGCTTCGCTGAATTATTTATCGGGCGTTCGCTTTCGTTTGAATAATTTAATATTTTTGACGACATCGACGGCACAACAATAATAATTCGTCGTCGTACGAGACTTCCCGTCTCTCATCAGGCCACGATCAATGGAAAATACAGGGACGAGTAATTGCACGACAAATGATCGATAATTACAGCGCAAAAACTGTAATGGCCTTTGCACGCGCACTCGAAGAACGGCCATTGGCGGAGGAAACCCTGCAAAGTTGATAAAGGAACGTGGATCACGGAATGGAATGATATTATCGGTGATAGTGATGGAATATGCTTTCGACTCGTGATGTAAGATTTGCATTCGTATTTGAATCCTGAAGGATGAACGATGCCTGCAGCAGAGGATACTTCGGTTGCTTCTTCGTTTTTTCCAGAAGACCTGTTCGTGTCGGTAAGCGAGATAGTATTTATGCTTCAATTAAAATTTACTGCGATTAATAAATTCGATTCAAACTGAAATAGCGACAAAAGCGACATTCTATAAACCGACTGCTTTAATTTCACATTAAGATATCACTGAGGAGATCGGTTTAACAGATCCGACGGATAAGTTCTAAGCATCGACCTGTAGGAGATACCATCAGAATGAAGACGAGCTTTCAAAGTTTGAACCGCTGGAACGACCTGATGAATACGTTGTCAGGGAACTTTCTACCGGTAACGAGCGAGGAAACGAAGATGCCGGTTATTTTGAAGTTATACGTGGCCATGATTTGGACGATCGAATTGACGTATCTTGGCGCCTGTACCGTCGGCATATTCTACGTGCCAAAGGAAAAGGCGCTGAGGGACGGCACGGTGAATTTTGTGGTTACGTTCGACATATTTTTCTTCCTCCCAATCTTGTATAGTAATAAAGACACGCTGCAAGGATTGATCGGGACGCTGAACAAGATTTTTGCTGCAGAGGGTAGCATGCTCACGACTACAGTTACTCAGTTGCTGGAGCCGATGATGAGGGTCCAGAAAATTTATATAATCGGCAGCGGAACTGCGCTTCTTGCGTGGACAACGTTGCCGCTCGCGGGTCTGTTCTATAAGAAAGAATTCTATTGCGCGGATTATCAAGTGCCGATGGCTTTGTCGAAGGAGCCATTTTCCGTGGCCATTTTCGTCGCTGGTACTGCGCTTCAGATGGTCGGCGGCGTTGTCACCTTCATTCGAAAGGCTAGCTTGGACGTGTACACTATACACTGGATCCTTTTGATGACTGCTCAGTACAAGTATATGGAGCTGAAGTTCATATCGATACTCGAGAAGGACACCACTTCCATCGCCAAGGACACGATCACTGAGGAAATGAGATTGCTGACCCGGCATCACAACACTGTAGTAAAGTATGCAATTATTGGATCGATGCGTAAGTCTTATTGCTCGTTTTCACACTGAACCTATCGAGTATTAACACGTTCCGTGCCGAGCTTTTTTTACTCGAATCTTCACACTTTGATATTTTACTAAAACTTGATGTATTACGTGCAATTATTAATTCTCGTACACATAACAACGTAACAAAAACTTATCAACGCCCATTCTTGCGGTGGAAATTGATTCTTCGGTTCTAAATTTCTTGTAAACAATTTGTTCAGTTCACTAAGTAAACATGCAAGCGTGTACCATCGATGGTACACGTGGCACGGAACGTGTTAATACCTGTCTCTTATACACATCTAGATGTGTATAAGAGACAGGTATTAACACGTTCCGTGCCGAGCTTTTTTTACTCGAATCTTCACACTTTGATATTTTACTAAAACTTGATGTATTACGTGCAATTATTAATTCTCGTACACATAACAACGTAACAAAAACTTATCAACGCCCATTCTTGCGGTGGAAATTGATTCTTCGGTTCTAAATTTCTTGTAAACAATTTGTTCAGTTCACTAAGTAAACATGCAAGCGTGTACCATCGATGGTACACGTGGCACGGAACGTGTTAATACCTGTCTCTTATACACATCTAGATGTGTATAAGAGACAGGTATTAACACGTTCCGTGCCGAGCTTTTTTTACTCGAATCTTCACACTTTGATATTTTACTAAAACTTGATGTATTACGTGCAATTATTAATTCTCGTACACATAACAACGTAACAAAAACTTATCAACGCCCATTCTTGCGGTGGAAATTGATTCTTCGGTTCTAAATTTCTTGTAAACAATTTGTTCAGTTCACTAAGTAAACATGCAAGCGTGTACCATCGATGGTACACGTGGCACGGAACGTGTTAATACCTGTCTCTTATACACATCTAGATGTGTATAAGAGACAGGTATTAACACGTTCCGTGCCGAGCTTTTTTTACTCGAATCTTCACACTTTGATATTTTACTAAAACTTGATGTATTACGTGCAATTATTAATTCTCGTACACATAACAACGTAACAAAAACTTATCAACGCCCATTCTTGCGGTGGAAATTGATTCTTCGGTTCTAAATTTCTTGTAAACAATTTGTTCAGTTCACTAAGTAAACATGCAAGCGTGTACCATCGATGGTACACGTGGCACGGAACGTGTTAATACCTGTCTCTTATACACATCTAGATGTGTATAAGAGACAGGTATTAACACGTTCCGTGCCGAGCTTTTTTTACTCGAATCTTCACACTTTGATATTTTACTAAAACTTGATGTATTACGTGCAATTATTAATTCTCGTACACATAACAACGTAACAAAAACTTATCAACGCCCATTCTTGCGGTGGAAATTGATTCTTCGGTTCTAAATTTCTTGTAAACAATTTGTTCAGTTCACTAAGTAAACATGCAAGCGTGTACCATCGATGGTACACGTGGCACGGAACGTGTTAATACCTGTCTCTTATACACATCTAGATGTGTATAAGAGACAGGTATTAACACGTTCCGTGCCACGTGTACCATCGATGGTACACGTGGCACGGAACGTGTTAAAAGTGACTGGCATGCGTTGCTTTTTAAGAATGATGATACTGAATTTATATAGTCGTTTGGTCATGGTTGATAGAATGCGTGCCAGAATTAAGAAACACATTCTACCATTTCCTGTAAAATTAGCTTTACAATTTCAGGAATCTTCAAAAAAAAGAGATGTGAAACCGGTTATGTCTACCGGTATAGTAGATATAGTGCTAATCCCCCGCTATTACACGGGGCCAAAATGTCCCACGTTTTTTTTGAGAAAGTGATATTGTCACGAGAAGAATTAAATTAACAATTAATTCAATATACTTATATATCGGATTCTAATAAAGAAAATGATGTTCTAGAATGTTCAAATTAAATCCTCAAATTTTTGCATCTCTATAGTGTTAGTTTTGGAGTGACAGTGGTTTGAAAACTGAACTGTGCTGATGACATTCATGTTTCGCATAGAAAGTGCGACAACGGAGGATTATGTGATGTTTTATATTTAAAGTAAATTTTGTTTATACATGGTGATTCCATGTAATTGAGGTGATTTGAAGTAACTTTTTCCCTAGCGAAAATGGCCTCTGTGACTTCTTTAACGAATTACGATATTCTCTCCATGCCTGTCACAATTTCGCGTCTGCCGAGTGACAGTTACGGTAGAAGAGTTCTTTGTGGCGTTCCGCTCGGGGGCGGAGGTTGGGATAACAATTGAAAAAAAGAGGAACAGAATTTTCAGAGTTCTTTAATTACGAACATGTTGAAATCCCATTTAATTTATATGCACTAGTTGACTAAACACAATATTTTGAGCATCAGAGGAAATGTTCGACCAATAGATATAAAAGTATAAGAAGCTTAGATTCTTTTTGATGTCTCATGAAATTATTTATCTTTTACCACGGAGAATATTTATTTTGAATTTTTCTTAAAAGTATTTCAAAGTCAGTGCTAATTGATTACATTTAGAATATCCTTGTGATATATTGTGGACAATGCAACTACTAGTTCTACTTTTTAATACATTTTTCATTAGTAACAACAACTTCTATCGAGTGCCAAACCACTCGTAGTAACAATAACGTAACATTTTTGTTTCGAAATTATCATGAGAGGTATTGGAAATGATTTGTTGACCGATAGAATTTGCCAGTATTAAGGATTTATCGACGCTCTATCGATATACCGATAAATGAGGAAAGTTACCTTTCATTCCATCATATCCTATCAGAAGTGGTTACGGCAAGACTACAATTAAATGATCCAAGGAACTTAGTGTAAGAGTACGTTAAATAAAAAGTATAAAAAATTTTTAGTTAGATTAGATAAGTGCTATTTGAAATAGATTGGATTCGATCACTCGTCTTTAGAGTAGAGATTAGATTAGATTAGATTAGATTCTTATTACTTAAATAAGAAATGGAAGACGTTAATCTTGTGATCAAGAATGAAGAATAACGTCTAAATAGTTACGAATAACGTGTAGCTAAGCATTGTTAAAGATAATTAGAGGCTCCAAAGTAGAAATTGGGAATGTTTGAATGATCTAGTGTTATCGAACAGTTAAATTTTTAATGGACCGTGAAATGATAACTGATATCTTGGGAAAGCACTACTGAATGTGTATATACTACTATTTGGTATTATGTTTATTGAAAATGCATACGTAAAAGTTTGAAGAAAAACATGAATCAAGTTACTTTCTGTGACTTCTGTTGTTTTGAAATAATCTGTTTCGTTTAAACTCATTATTTTTATTATAAGAGATAAAAGAATTATATCTTATTATTATTATTTTATTATAAGAAATTAAAAGAAAAATTAAACTAAAGTGCTTATTTTGTCTGAAGCGTCTTTTGTAGTAATGTACTGAATACCATTTTTTACATGTAAAAATGATTGTAATATATGCAGAAATTGATTTATTTGTATAATATGCAGTGACTGTAGTCTACCAGATGTTTAGAAAGTTTGGGCTCTAATACTATTAGAAACAAATGTGTTAGACTAGTTGCAACAATAAGTAGTTTATACTTTAATGATGCATTTACTGATAACTAAGATACTTTTTTTCTTCTCTTCCATTAACATTAAATTTCACATGTTTTCGCTGGTTACTAACCTTACATCTAATTTCTACCTTATGGCATATACTAACTGTCTATATTTGTATAAATCCTATTTTACATCAAACCTAATTCTTTGCAACCCAAGTACAGTTACATGAAACTAAAGGCAATTTCATGGAAGCTTACAAGCAAGAGATTTTGGGGGACTTGAACAATTCTCAAGGGGTTCAAGAATTAATGATACTGATTATTGGAATATTTCATCGAACAATTCAAACGGTCGGACGTTTGATAGTGTTTGCTCTTGCTGAATAAAGCTGCAGTAATACCTATAAGTTTTATTAACTACAATATACCTCGAAGATTTGTTAAATTCAATCAACTACCATTGGAATGGAATACTTTCAAGATGAAATCAAGATAAATACAGATGAGAGGTAGATAATTTCAATAGACTACTGGAACTTGACAAAGGATTTAACTCCTTTCGCTTCAATGTCTGCTTGACACTTCTCCAATTTCATCATCCCCCCTTATATACCTAACACATCAAAAGTTTAACACTAGAACTACCTATGACTGGTTCCTGTTTTTTGCTTTTACGGTTCCCGATATTATAAAAATGTTTCTAGGGGAAATTTTTAGATAAGAGATTTTTTATGCTGGCACATATTATGATAGAAATCGCACGAAGTTTAAATAAATCCAATCTTTTTTGCCATTGTTATAATACAGTACATTCCTTGTTAAGAGCTTGGTAGTTCTAGTATTAATCTAGTAATATAATAAATTAAATAGGATTTAAAGTACTACCCGCAATTAGCAGTGAATGTTGTACTTTGAACACTTATCTCTTATTTAAATCTAATAAGCTTCAGAATAAGACCAGAATAGTTGAAAATTTATAGGCACAGTAAATTTTCTCTAACTGACGCTCAGATTGTGTACAAAGATGGACAATTTGGGAAGAAAAGATACGATTATTCGAGCCTTGCTTTAAATTATGCTGTAACTATAAAAACGAGCCGCAATGCTCGAATAATCGCATCTTCTCTTTCCAAATTGTTCATTTTTGTGTACAATCTGAGCGTCAATTAGGGAGAATTTATTGTATTCGATTTCCTTCCATTTTAATGCTTCATTTTGTTTTTGATAAAGCAAAGTACTCCTAAATTAAGTAAATTAATTAACACAATAATTATTATTTTGCATAATATAATCCGCAACCTAATCGTGTTCTTTTACTGTATAAACAACTTCCGAAGAAATTGCGTCTGTCCTGTCTAAATGTTTTTATGCTCGTGTTACAGAATGGCCGTCGCATTGAAACGAATATTTTCTCCGAACATTGCGGCTCTGTACATAAACAATGTTTTTCGCTTCTGTTTTTTAAGCATTATGGTGATAACGGTATATATCACCCAATGTAATTTTTCATATCTGTAATTCCAATTGCTTATGTCAGATTCACGTATTATTTCTAGTCTGCCAACAGCCTGTTAAGATCTTTCATTGTATTATACACATGCGGTGCACTGATGCAGTTATATATGATATGCTTTTGCATTCAACATTTATTGGAGGCGGTAAGATTTACTGTTTTATACAATAACAATGCAAGTTCTCTATTGCTACTACGACGTCCTACTTTTTACGTGTTGAAACATCACATTAGAATTTATCAAATTCTGTTCCAGTTGAATGACAATAGAAATTAAACAAATTGATATTCTTCGCGAAATAATTTAATCTTCCGCTTGAAGTCGCATGATTTTGATACAAACAGATTTATTAGCGAAACAATTTAACAATGTACAGTGACATATACAACAACAGCATTTACAATATAGTAAGTTACTCCATTATATGTATAGTAACTACTACACTACTAGTTTTAGTTACTGTATATGTTATTATACATTGTTAATTTGTTTCGTGAATAAATTTCGACAAACCAAAATCACGCTGAATATTAATTTTTCAAATTACTATTGTTATTTAATTAAAACTGAATTATACGAATTTTAATGTGATGTTATATATAAAAATTCACTTCCTTCATTTATTGATAAAGAAACAGAAGTCGATCATTTTAACTTTTGCACCAATAAACAATACGATAAAGCCCCTAGCTGAAACAAAAATTATTCAACAAGTTTACTCCATAACAGTACGTGAATTTCATTGAGGAACACTACACAAGCTTGAGATTATTTTACTGTAGAATAATATTTTTAATGGAAAATTATAATCCATTAAACTAGAGTACAACAATGATGGACAGCGTGTTTCATAAAAATTGGTACCTTCATGATATTTCGCTGCAACGATCCGTTATGTTCATGACTTTGGCTACAAAATTGAAATGCCAATTATCTCGATTTCGGAATATTGATCTAACACTACCATCGTTTATGTCGGTGAGACTGTGCTGAATAAGCTATTTAAATACTTGTAATATATTTTATCTTCATAACTTTCTTGATGTTTTAGATTCTGAACCAAGCGTACTCAGTATGTTTGTTATTTCTAAGGTCAAGGCGAGATTGAAAATGGCAACCAGTAACCTTAAAATTAGTTTCATTAGATCAATTTTGATAATGCATTAGAAACGATTTTACGTCAATGAAATAAAAATATATACATATGTTAATCATTGTTAATAGATGTGCTCCCTCTATTATTTACAATTTTGCAGGTCACAGCGACGAACAATGATCATTTCCTATACGTTCCAGTGTTCCCAGCTTTGACTACCACCTCAATCGCATACAGGTAACAGGATCACTATATATACTAACATTAAACAATATTAATTTACACATTGTTGTATTGCATATGATTAAGTGAATGTGTATCCCGAACCAAATGAATTTGTTATTTAGATTCCCAAGAAAACGGTTTGTCTGAAGAAATCCTTGAGCACATTGATTTGGTTGTGACTGCAGCAAATCACAATTACACAAAATTATGTATAATTAAGTAAGATTCAAGAAAAAACTAGTATTCTTTTATACACTTAACATGTTGACTGTCACCTGGCTCACATATAGAATACTATTGTATATGCTCAGATAATAGTAGTAACAGTAACAATTGCTACAATGAATTTAGGTTACCATTAAAGTTTCTCTTTTATTAATTAAACTGCTTCGATTCTGTTTAATTTTTAGGGTTCATATTCAGCAGTCGACATATTATCTTATTGGCATAAATAAATTCTTGTTTGACGTATATTAATTTTGTGCAAAATATTCTAAACAAAATAATAATCCCACTATAATCTTGCGAATTCTGCTTGTATAATGTTGATCCATGCACTGGATGCTTGATATTCCATTTAATTCTAGAATTGATTTTTCAACCAGTTAACTGTTGCAATCTCTTTGAAGAGTGTGTAAGTTACTACAAATGATACTGTATATGTTGGATTTCCTTCATATTCTGTCTAAATACAACACTTTTATAAAATATGTAATTTAATAAAGAATATCAAAGTATATATGCTTCTTAACCAGTTTGCTGTTTTTGACGAGTATACTCGTCACTGTTGAAATTACATTTTGTGTTCTGTGTAGACTGCGGATATTATGCATTTATGACAAAAATGAGTAGCTAAAGTATAAAATTGTGAAATCATAAGAAGAAATTAATAATAATGTTACACTATCTTTAACTTATCAGAATTATTAAAAAGAACAATTTATTTGTATTTCATTTCTGTTTCTTGCAATCGCCTTGGAAAATTTTTATTTTGCATGAGGACCCGCAGTCTGGTTATGACGAGTGTACTCGTCGAATCTTCCAATAGTCGAAATCAAGACATAAAATTACAGAACCGAACTTGAAAACCCATAACAGGTTTGAAAATTCGGAGCGCATTAGTTTGCGGAATGTTGATCACAATACCTATTATGCAGGCTTACCTTTCGTTTTGAAAGGTCTGGACGGTTGAGAATACCCTCGAGAACCGTTTCCATTGATGGCTGCCACACGAAACTGATACCAATGTCCAGTTTTCAATCGAGCGCGAAGGGTCGCGTGCGACTTCATCGAAACATGTCGCACTGACCAGGAACTTAATCTGGATTCTAAGTATCTCGGACCTAGTAGGTGTCGTTCCTCCACCAAATATCTCACATCATTGTCTGGTGTTTTAGAGTCCCGCCAAGTGAGAACAACTAAATTACTCTTCTGTTGTCGGATTTGTAGGTTTTCAGGCACTTCTGGTAAGTCTAAAATGTATTATGAAGAAAATATAGTTGCCTGATAATTTTAAACGATTCGCAAAAATACATATAAATATATAAATAAATAAATAATAGATAATTAAATAAATAAATAAATAAATAAATAAATATATATATATATATATATATATATATATATATATATATATATATATATTTGTTATATACATAGTATATATTTATTTATTATATATATAATAAATAAATACATGTCAAAATACATTATACTGGATTTGGGCAAGCAAATCAATCTCTTAACCGTATTGATAAATTTTTTAAATTCTTGCACAATTACACAATTCTATCGATCATACTGTGTGCAGTTTCTCTCAGCAAGTTTTTCGAAAACAATCCGAAAATGTCTGAAATTTACAAATGCGTTTCACAAAATCTTTCATTCAAATTGTAAAATGAGCATATACTTGTCGTGACTTGAAAAATTTCTTCATTACAGATAAACTCGTCTAGCACAACTAAAAATTTAAACGGAATTNATATATATATATATATATATATATATATATTTGTTATATACATAGTATATATTTATTTATTATATATATAATAAATAAATACATGTCAAAATACATTATACTGGATTTGGGCAAGCAAATCAATCTCTTAACCGTATTGATAAATTTTTTAAATTCTTGCACAATTACACAATTCTATCGATCATACTGTGTGCAGTTTCTCTCAGCAAGTTTTTCGAAAACAATCCGAAAATGTCTGAAATTTACAAATGCGTTTCACAAAATCTTTCATTCAAATTGTAAAATGAGCATATACTTGTCGTGACTTGAAAAATTTCTTCATTACAGATAAACTCGTCTAGCACAACTAAAAATTTAAACGGAATTTAAATTAAAATTTTGAATGAAATAAATGGATCATGCTGCACGCGTTTTGTTCATTTATATGAATGTGAATTCGTTCGTCTACGCAAGTAGGTGAAACCAGTTGGATTTTTAGTCTGACCTGTTGCGACTGAAACTGCAAAAACTGAAAACGAATAACGAGAAGCACATACATCTCGTGTTCTCAGAGAATAAATCGTGTTCCATCTAGTGTTCCTTTATTTAGAATGTAGATAAATGTTTAAGGAATCATACGAAAGTATTCCCGATTCAATTGATTCAACAAATCTGTAAATAAAGTACGCTATTGTGAAACAAAACTGTTTCTTATCACTTTACGGTCTATAATCATATCTCTTTTTTACTTGAGAATTTGCTGTAACGTTGTATAATTCAATTATAAGTCCATATGTGACTTTATAATCTATTTAGGTCACTTGACAAAATTGTAAAATCTCTATTATCCAAAGAGAATTCGGAAATTAACCGAATATAAGGCAACCTATACGCAAACCGATTTATTGTAAAGATCAATATAGATGAGATTTGGCACTGTATACGACTAACTGTTCCGTTATTTGAATATTCATGTGATTTTGCTTAGCTTGGATAATCAAAGTTCCGCTGTATTAGTATAAAAGTTAATGTCTAATCTGCCTTTGTACGTTACGTACCCTTTTAACGTTCCAAAATAATTTTTACATGATCCAATTTGTTTATATTTAAAAACTGTTGAAAGTATACCTGTTGTACAAGTCACAGACTCAATTTCACGTGAATTAAATGCACTAAGTCATGTAAAATGGAAATGCAGTAGGTCAGAAAAACAAATTTGAATTTAGAGTAAAAATAGCTTCGAGTACAAAGGGTTTACTAGCAGCACTTCTTCGTCCTTGATCATTTCTTTAATCGAACGAGACGATTTTTGTTTCTTGTATCTCTTTATTTAATTTCATTTCTAGATTTTGATAATACAAGAATCAAATTTTGTTTCGATTTAAAAGAAACAAATAAAATTCATTTTTACTAGATCGTACATGAAATGTTCACCACGAGTCTGACTCGTTGCTATAGTGCAAAGGATTAATAAAGAATCGTTTGGAAAATTGTAACAGTCAATCGAATCTACGATCATTCAGTTTATAACATTTGACAGAATGCGTGGCCTGTGATAGCATTCACTTTGGACGTCTATTTCATTCGTAAATGGGCGACGTGCTGTTCGAAGTATAGCCGTACCCTAATGCGTATGATAGTATAATTGCGTACCAGTTCTATTGTCCAAACCGATAGGATGAACGCAAGTCACGCCGCAGTCGTGTTTGCAGCACTTCGCTAAGTCCGAACAACGGGAATCGTCGACGCAGGCTACTAAACAAGCAGCCTCGAACGGTGACAGAGATGCCTGGTCAGGGCAGTAACCAGGTTTCGTGTAATTGGAGTCCAGGCAATTTTCCATACACTATAATGAAATCAGGTTTATTAAGGTTATTACGAGACTGTACAAGATTCCGCAAGTTCACGCTTTGTTACTTTATAGAAATTCAATTTATATGACGTCCGATTTCCTTCGCGAACAGGTTCGAACTTGTATCGAACCCACGGTGACTGCGTAAACTTCGGTAATCCAGTGATAACACTTAAACAATAAAATAACAGGAACTATTTTCTTGTTCCATTTTTATACGTTCAATCTATATTCTAATCTATTGTTTAAGTTTTTTACACCGTTGGTAGATGTAAACAATTACAAACGTGTCGTTTTAATTTAACTATAATCGTGCAACTAATATTACATTGTCTAATCGTTACACAGTAATTCTAAACTTTGAAAATATTATTCGTTTGTTTTTAATTAACTTCCGACTTAATCGCAAAATTAAACGAATTTTCCAGCATAATATAATATACATTCAGAAAATAATTATATTCCATACTAACATAGTTAAACTCTCATAAATGTTATAAAATAAGAAAATAGTTATCGCAAGTAAATAAAAGAAATAGTTACCACATGTAAACAAAAATAAAACAGTAATTTAATTCGAAATGAAAAATTCCAATTTTCGTTTTGAATAATTGAAATGAATTTATTACTCAATATAATTTACTTAATTAATATTATTTTATTGTAGACTTTTACCTGGACTTT